AAATCTAGAAGACATGATGAGCAGATAAAACATGGTAAGACTTTTTTTTTAATCTAAAAAGATCAGGGACTCTCCCTCTTTTCAGAGTTGGGGGCTCTCTGTTGACAGCTGTGGAAGAAAAATCCTAAGGCATGTTTTGTTTGTTTTTTTGAGTTGGAGTTTCTCACTCTGTTGCCCAGGCCGGAGAGCTCACGGCCACTGCAGCCTCGACCTGCTGGACTCAGGTAATCCTTCCGCCTCAGCCTTCCAAGTAGCTAGAACTACAGGCGCGTGCCACCACGCCCAACTAATTTTTTTTTTAATTTATTGTAGAGATGATGAGGTCTCGCCAAGTTGTCCAGACTGGTCTCGAACCTGTAGGCTCAGGCAGTCCTCTCACCTTGGCCTCCCAAAGTACTGGGATTTTAGGCATGAGCCACTGTGCCTGGTCCTAAGGCATTTTTAAGAGCAAATTACTCATTCAATCTTACTGCAGTTTTTCACCGTCTAACTTACTACCTGCCATCTATTGAACCCTTTGTAATAACTCCCTCCTTCTTTTGTTTTTCTGTGCCATCTTTTCTGTTCCAAATACCTGATATAGAGTGGAACTTACCTTGAAAACCAGGATCCCAATCCTGACTTTCTACCACATTCTACTGCTGATCTTGACCTTGAACTTGTGAACTTAAACTATCCAGGTCTTCATTTCTTTCTTTGATGAGGAAGACAGGCCAAAAAAAAAAAAATTGCTATTTTACTTAAATTTAATTTTTTTATTACTAAAGAATGTAGAAAAAAACAATTCAAGCAGCAACAAAAGCATATAAAAGGAAAAAGTGAAAGTCTGTCTACACCATTTATCTCCATGGGGTAACTGTATTAATTTGGGTATATTCTTTCAATTTTTTTTTTTTTGAGTCAGAGTCTCACTCTGTAGCCTAGGCTGGAGTGCAATGGCACGCTGCTCACGACCACCGTAGCCTCGACCTGCTGTGCTCAGGTGATCCTTTTGCCTCAGCCTTTCAAGTAGCTGGAACTACAGGCCTGTGCCACCATGCTCAGCTAATTTTTTGATTTATTTGTAGAGGTGAGGTCTTACCAAGTTGCCCAGGCTGGGCTCAAACTCATGAGCTCAGGCAATTTTCTCACCTCTGCCTCCCAAAGTGCTCAGATTATAGGTGTGAGCCACAGTGCCCAGCCTCTTCCATATTTTTAAGGCAAAAAAAAAAAAATCAATGATGTATGCTATTATAGAATTTTTTCTTTTGACATTACAATTTACATTCCCCTGAGAAGCAATGTAAGATCCACAAGAGTAAGAACTTTGCTTTGTTCATTGCCATATTTCTGGAGACTAGAATAGTGCCTGGAACAAAGTCAGTGCCAATAAATGTTCACTGAACGAGTGAATGACATTAATCATCCTTCCTGGCAGATCAACTAGAAGTTCCACTGGGCCAGGGATGTGTCTATTTGGCCCCCTTCTATGGTCCTAGCACTCCAAAGGGCCTGGCACACAGTAAGCATTTAATAAGTATTTGTTGCATTAGCAAAAAAGCTTAATGGTGAAACTGCCTAATTCTTTTTAAAAGCACCCATGTATAGACAGAACGCCATAATCAATTATTCCTTTATTAATGTAGAAAGTCTCTTACAAACACCATTGTGCTGATCAGCCCTGTATGCATACCCCTGTTTAAAGATTTTTGTAGAATAAGAATCTCTTTTGGGTGGAACCATTGATCTGATTCAGATGTGTTCTGAAGTCCCTTCCCACTAGCGATTAATTTCTCCACCTGTATGAGAACTGCTGCCTATACTTAATTTTCAAAATGATCTTCCTTACATATCTCCTTGTAGAAAGTCAGTGTCTTTCAAAACTATCTAGATGCAGCCCAGACACTAGAATTCACAAGGCACGACTCCTAGAGACAAACAGGTTGCCTACAGCCCTACTGACCAACATCGACATGCAGAACAGCTGGGCTTTGTCATCACCTAGGGAAAAACAGTTTTCTGGCAGTGATAAGTTCATAATGTGGATCCATTCTTTTTTTTTTTTTTTTTTTGAGCTGGGTCTTACTCTGTAGCTCAGGCTGGAGTGCAGTGGCACAATCATGGCCACCATAGCTTTGAACTTCTGAGCTTTTTTCTGTTTTCTGTCATCTCAGTCTTCCCAAAATTCTGAGATCAGAGGTATGAGCCACCACACCCAGTTAATATTTAGTAAGTTTTTGTAAGAGTTGTGTCAGGCATTGGGGAAGCAAGAATAAGTGAGATAGACCTAGTCTTTTCTTTTTTGAGTTGGAGTCTCACTCTGTTGCTTAGGCTGGAGTTCGGAGGCACACTCATGGCCACCCCAGGGTCAACCTGCTGGGCTCAGGCGATCCTTCCACCTCGGCCTTCCAAGTAGTTGGAACTACAGGTGCATTCCACCATGCCCAACTAATTTTTTTTTTTTTTTTTTGAGTTGGAGTCTCACTCTGTCACCCAGACTGGAGTGCAGTGGCCGCAGCCTCGACCTGCTGGGCTTCGGCGATCCTTCCGCCTCAGCCTTCCAAGTACCTGGAATTACAGGCATGCGCTACCACGCCCGGCTGATTTTTTGATTTATTGTAGAGATGAGGTCTTGCTGCCCAGGCGGGTCTTGAACCCGCAGGCTCAGGCAATCCACTCTCCTCAGCCTCCCAAAGGCACAGGATTACAGGCTGAGCCACCGAGCCCGGCTTTTATTTTTTATTTAGTGTAGAGATGAGGTCACCAAATTGTCAAAACTGTTCTTAAACCTGTGGGCTCAGGCAATCCTCTCATCCCAGCCTCCCAAAGTGCTGGGATTATAGGTGTGAGCCACTGCACCTGGCCCCAGACCTAGTCTTTACTACAGATTGCTGGAGGCCTTTGTCTGCTTTCCACCAGGAAACTGAATTTGTGTCCCAGTCATTGCTTCTTCTTCTGTGAAAAATACAGCTCCAGTTTTCTCCGTGAATGGAGAAGTTGATTAGAGATATTTTCTTTCGAGCACACAACAAGCAAAACTTGGCAACATACACCTAGCAAACACACTTCCTTTTCCCCAGAAGTTTCTGCCACACCACAGGCCTGCTAGGCTGTCTTCTTCTTCTTTTTTTTTTTAGTCTGAGTCTCACTCTGTCGCCCAGGCTGGAGGGCAGTGGTGTGCTCCTGGCCACTGCAGTCTCCTGCAGGGCTCAGGCAATCCTTCCGCTTCAACCTTCCAAGTAGCCGAACTAGAGGCATGCGCCACCATGCCCAACTGATTTTTTGATTTATTATAGAGATGAGGTCTCGCCAAATTGCTCAGGCTAGTCTCAAACCTGTGGGCTCAGACAATACTCTCATCTCCGCCTCCCAAAGTGCTGGGATTATAGGTGTGAGCCACCGCACCCGACCTAGGCTATCTTCTTAACTGAGGCAGAGGAGAGCTGTGTGGTGGCACTCACTGCAAAAAAGGCAACACTCAAAGAAACCTAAACCTCCACACTTGGAGGAAATCTTCAAGATCATGTAGTCCAGGCTCAGTCATTTCTTTTCTTTTTTTTTCTTTTTCATTCAGTGTCTTACTCTGTTGCCCAGGCCAGAATGTAGTGGCATGTCATCACAGCTCACTGCAGCCTTGACCTCCTGGGTTCAGGTAATTCTCCTGCCTCCGTCTCCCAGGTAGCTGAAACTGACAGTGCATATCACCATGCCTGGCTATTTTCTTTTTTGTTGTTGTTGTTAAGTTGGAGTCTCACTCTGTCGCCCAGGCTGGAGAGCACTGGCAGGCTCACGGCCACCGCATCCCTAACCTGCTGGGCTCAGGTGATCCTTCTGCTTCAGCTTTCCAAGTAGTTGGAACTACAGGTATGCACCACCACGCCTGGCTAATTTTTTCATATATTGTGGAGATGAGGTCTCGCCAAGTTGCCCAGGCTGGTCTCGAACCCGTGGGCTCAGGCAATCCTCTCACCTCAGCCTCCTAAAGTCCGGGGATGATAGGCATGAATCACCGCACCTGGCTAATTTTTTGATTTATTGTATAGATGAGGTCTTGCCAAGTTGCTCAGGCTGGTCTGGAACCTGTGGGCTCAGGCAATCCTCTCACCTCAGCCTCGCAAAGTGCTGGGATTATAGGCTGGAGCCACTGCACTGGCCTAAATTTGTTATTTTTTGTCAAGTTGTGGTCTTGTTACGTTGTCTAGGCTGGTCTCTAGCTCCTGTGTCAAGCAATCCCTGCTGCCTCAGCCTCCCAAAGTGCTGGGAATACAGGCAATAACCACTGCACCTAGCCTATCCAGTAGTTTCTTAACCTTTTTTTTTTTTTTTGAGTTGGAGTCTCATTCTGTCACCCTGGCTGGAGGACAGTGGCACACTCCATGCCACTGTAGCATCTACTTGCTGGGCTCAGGCAATCCTTCTGCCTCAGACTTCCAAGTAGCTGGAACTACAGGCACACGCCATCATGCCCGGCTAATTTTTTTGATTTGTTGCAGAGATGAGGTCTCACCAAGTTGCCATGGCTGGTCTCGAACCCGCAGACCTCAGGCAATCCTCTCACCTCGGCCTCCAAAAGTGCTGAGCTTATGGCGTGAGTCACCGCACCAGCAGTTTCTTAAACTTATAAGGATCACACATCTTTTTGGAAATCAGTAGCCCCTTCAAATTTTGTATACCAAAAAGACATGCACACATCTCAATAAAGAGTTTTCACTGGATTTTCAGGCGCTTCACAGACACATCATGTCTTCTTGGCACTCCAGAAACCCCATGTCAAGAATTTCTAATGTATATAAAAGCCTGCTTAAAAAAAAAAATTAGCTGGGCATGGTGTGCACCTGTGGTTCCTGGTACTTGGAAGGCTGAGGCAGAAGGATTGCCTAAGCCCAGCAGGTGGAGGCTGCGGTGGCTGTGAGCGTCCCATTGCACTCCAGCCTGGGCGATGGAGTGAGACCCTTGCTCAAAAGAAAAAAAACATGACATAGTTGGATCTATTGCATTGAAGGGTGACAACCCAGTGGTTGTCAACATTGCTGTCCATTGCTGATGTAGCGGTAATACTCAGTCGGATCCTCTATCTCATAGACATTCTCCTCAATGGTGTAGATGTTTTCCTCTGAACGTATCCCCTGTGCTGCTGCGTTTGCCATTCCAGAGGGAGGGAGGTTGGCCAAAGAGATGAGGCTGTGGAAACAAAGTGTTGGAGTGGAGTTAAGCATTTCTCAGGTAACAGGAGAAAGTTTGTCACGAGAGCAGGCTTTGTTGAAGAGACATCAGCCAAGTAAATCCACTGCATGATCCTTGATGGGAGGGCACATAAAATAACAATAAAATAATATGAGAACAACTGAGAGGTTTTTTTTTTTAGCGACACGGTCTCACTCTGTTCCCTAGGTTGGAGTGCAGTGGCATGATCATAGCTCACTACAACCTTGAACTCCTGGGCTCCAGCGATCCTTCTACCTTAGCATTCAGAGTAGCTGTGATTACAGGTGCTTGCCACCATGCCTGTCTCAAGTCCTTAATTTTCTATGACATCTATAATTTACAAGTAGAGATGAACATTGACCATATACTTTCACACATAATGAATTAATGCATGTGAATGTTACCTGTGAATATTATCATATTTCCAAGTTTCAGCTCTAATGAAGAATACTGGCACAGATTCTCTAAAACCACTGATAATTAATTATTTTATTTGGTCTTATTTGACTTTTTTTTTTACTGCAGATAATCTTGTCTTCATAATATACCGTATTTTACTTAGTTTAAAATGATTAATCATTTAGATAGTACTTAGTGGAAATTTTTCTTTCTTGAAATAAATTGCATTCTATTTATGTACCAAATGTCACTAAAACTCTAAAATCTAGTAAAAGTTATGTAAGTTATGCCTCTTTGGAATGGTTGTATGTGTATAGTTAGGAATGGCAATTAAGACGTGAATATATAATAAATCAGGCAGTAGTTCCCTGCCCTAATTGTACATTAGAATTAACTGGAAAACTTTTACTTTTTTATTTTTTTGAGACAGGGTCTCGCTCTGTCACACAGGCTAGAGTGCAGTGGCATGATCGTGGCTCACTGCAGCCTTGAACTCAAGAGATTCTCCTGTCTCAGTCTCCCAAGTAGCCAGGACTACAGGTGCATGCCACCACATCTGGCTAATTTATTTTCTGTAAAGATGGGGTCTTGTTTTGTTGTCCAGGCTGGCTGGCATGGAACTCCTGGCCTCAAACAATCCTCCCACCTCAGACTCCCAAAACACTGGGATTACAGGCAAGAGCTACCACCTGGCTACCTGGAGCGCTTTTAGAACAATACCTATGTTTAGGCCTTATCCCCAGAGATCTTAATTCAATTGCTCTGGGGTTGACCCTGAATGCCTGCTTAAACGCCCAGGTGATTAGAATAGTAAATCAGCCTGTAATCCCAGCACTTTGGGAGGTGGAGGCAAGAGGATTGCCTGAGTCTGGGTTTCGAGAAGAGCCTGCACAACATGGTGAGACCTCTTCTCTACAATAAAAATCAAAATTAGCCAGGCAAGGTGGCAAGCACCTGTAGTTCCAGCTACTTGGAAGGCTGAGAGGGAAGGATCACCTGAGCCCAGCAGGTTGAGCGTACGGAAGCTGTGAGAGCGCTGGGCGACAGAGTGAGACTCAAACTCAAAAAAAAAAAAGAATAGGAAATCAGACTTGAGAACACCTGGCCTGGGCAGTAGAGACTCTGAGAGTAGATTTTGGGGCTTTTGTTCACTTATGTAACCCCAAAGTCCAGCCCAGATATAGTAGGTGCTCTATCAGTTCAAGGATCAATTCATTGAATAAACCCATTAATGCAGATATGAACAAGCATTTGTTACTAATAGGGAGATAAATTTTTTTTTTTTTTTTTTGAGTTGGAGTCTCACTCTGTCGCCCAGACTGGAGTGAAGTGGCTGCTCCTGGCCACCGCAGCCTCGACCTGCTGGGCTCCGGCGATCCTTCCACCTCAGCCTTCCAAGTAGCTGGAACTACAGGCGTGCACTACCACGCCCGGCTTATTTTTTGATTTATTGTAGAGATGAAGTCTTGCCTAGTTGCCCAGGCAGGTCTCGAACCTGCGGGCCTAAGCAATCCACTCACCTCAGCCTCCCAAAGGCGTGGGATTACAGGCTGAGCCACCGAGCCCAGCTGGGAGATAAATTCTATACCTTAACTTTAGAACTAAGGCAGCTAGATGTACAGCAGCACAGCAGCACTTAAATTGTTGCTTCATAATTAGACCTATGGCAAAAAGGAAGCATTGAAATATGTCTGCAAAACCTATAGCAGCCTGTTGAAATAACTTGCTTGACATGCATAAGTAACTCCATTTTGTAACAGATCTTCCGTCTTAGCCTAGAGATGATCCCCTTATGTAACCTCGTAATCATACTGCATATCCACATTCCTGTGCCACTCGGTGATTGGAAACTCCCTAGTTGCATACATTCTATAACCATCCGTACTCCTTACTACCCCTTACTAATCATATGGTTTGCCAAGAAATATCAATCAAACTGTACAACTTATGTAATGTTTACCTTTAAAAACCCACTACTCACTCTGTTCGGGACTGAAAGTTATTTGGGACACTAGTCCACTCTTGGTCACCAGCGTCAATAAAGGACTCATAATCTGACCTTCCCTGTGTGTCAGCATTGTTTCTTGCAATCCAACTATAACAGTATGAGCTTAGATCCCAAAACCCCAAGGCAGGACTTCTCAGCATGAAGATCAAAGCCATATTAGAGTAGGACCCTCCAAGATTCCCACGTTTCCCCCACTCCCATTCTATCACTCTTACCTTAAATTCTGTGACTTCTCTTTGCTATGAGAATACCCTAGGTAAAGGGGAAAGAAAAGCCAATAAAAACACTTTCATAAAATAAATGAGACAAGAAGTAAAAATAGGCTCACTGGAAGAAGGTATGGTTTAGAGAAATCTGGTCACACCTTAGATTAAATTACATCAAATTCGCAATGTGTGTCTTAGTTTATCATATGGACTATGTTAGAAAGGAAAAGATAGCCAGGCCAGATGGTTCATGACTGTAATCCCAGCAATTTGGAGGATAAAGCCAGAGGACTGCCTGAGTCCACAGGTTGGAGACCAGCCTGGGCAACTTGGTCAGAGCTCATCTGTACAATAAATCAAAACATTAGCTAGGTGTGGTGGCACACCCCTGTAGTTCCAGTTACTTGGAAAGTAGAGGCGGAAAGACCACCTGAGTCCAGCAGGTCAAGGCTGCAGTTGTGAACAGGCCATTGCACTCCAGCCTGGGTAACAGAGTGAGACTCTAACTCAAAAAAAAAAAGGAAAAGATTGAAAGGAAGGAAGGAAGGAAGAAAGAAAGATGCATTTTTAAAAATTTAACAAATATTATGGGGCATCTACTATGTGCCTGGCAGTTTGCCATAAAAGTGAATTGTGAGCTCTAATTTCATGACGCTTGCATTCTAATGAGGGAGACCAAAAAAGAAAACAGTAAATAGAAAAACAAAAGAATTGAAAATTATGATGTATTACAAAAGAAACCAACAACACTGAAACAGACAGTAGAGAGGGTGGCCAGGGGAAAACTCTCAAAGATGACCTTTACCCTCAGTTCTTTTTTATTATTATTTTTTTTTTTTTAATTTTTTTGAGATGGAGTCTCACTCTGTCACCCAGACTAGAGTGCAGTGGCCGCTCCGGGCCACCGCAGCCTCGACCCGCTGGGCTCTGGCGATCCTTCCGCCTCAGCCTTCC